GGGAAAATGCAATAATGGAAGAAATTTCAGCACTCGAAAAAAAATGACACCTGGGAGCTTGTACCAAATCCTTATGATGTCGATTTAATTACTTGTAAGTGGATTTACAAGGTGAAGAAAAAAACTAGGGGTAGAATTGATAGACACAAAGCTAGTCTTGTTGCTCGTGGCTTCTCTCAGCAATATGATCGAGACTATGATGAGACTTTTAGTCCGGTCGCAAGGATGGTAAGATTACGGATAATCATCTCTTTAGCCGCTAATAAAGACTAGAAATTATGTCAGCCTGATTTAAAAATGTTTTCCTTTATGGAGAGTTAGATCGTGATATTTTTATGGAGCAGCCACAAGAATTTACCTATAAGGAATATTCTGATTATGTGTGCAAACTTAAGAAGGCATTGTATGGACTCAAACGAGCTCCTCGTGCTTGGTTTGGTAAGATTGTTCAATATCTTAATTTCTGTGGTTTTAAGTCTTCATGTGCTGATCCGAGCTTATTTGTTAAGAAAGTAACAACTGAATGCACCTTGCTCTTACTCTATGTTGATGACATGATTATTACTGGTGATGATATTGTTGAAATTAGTAGTCTCCAAGATGCTTGGTCTGTTCGTTTTGAAATGAAAAAATGAGGTGAAGCTGATTGTTTTCTAGGTTTGGAAATTAAGAAATGTGATATGGTTATTTTCTTTCTAAAAAAAGGATATGCATCAAGTTTATTGCAGCGTTTCGTATAGAGAATTCAAGAGAAAAAACTACTCCTATGGAACCAAATCTCAAATTAGCTAGAAATGAAGAGAAGTCATTAGTAGATGCTACATTCTTTCGTCAACTTGTTGGTAGTTTATTCTAACTAACTATCACAAAGCCGGACATTACTTTTTAATAGGAGTTGTGTCTTCAAGATCAACCACACGAGACTCATTTGATTGGAGCAAAAATGATTTTTTGTTACATCGAGGGCACTCTAAATTATGGATTAATGTATGAGAAATCAAGTCATTATTATTGAGTGGTTTTGTGGATGTTGATTTGGTTGGTGACGTGAACGACAGACGCTCCACAATAGATTTTTGTTTTACAACAGGCTCTACTGCAATTTCATGGTGCAGTAAAAAGCAAAGCACCGTTGCTTTGTCAAGTTGTGAAGCAGAATATGTAGTTGCTACAATGGCTACTCAAGAATGTTTGTGGCTCAGGATGCTTATTCAAGAAATGATGACTACTCTCAATCAGCCAATTCAAATTAATTGTGACAATGAAAGTGAAGTAAAACTTGCTGGAAATCCGGTGTTTCATGCTCGTTCAAAACATATTAAAACTCATTATCATTTTGTTCGAGAGAAAGTGTTATCGCAGGATGTTGAATTGCAGAAAATACATACTAATGAGCGAGTTGCAGACATATTTACTAAGGCACTTGCCAAAGTGAAGTTTGAAGTTCTTTTGTAAGGCTCTCGGAGTTATTGAGAAATAAGCTTGCACCAAAGGAGGTTGTCATCATTTAGTGCTAACTTATTGCTAATTTGAATGAGTCAACATATTCGTAATCATTTAATATTTGGAAATATATTAGTTATGAAATAGAGCTTACATATCCGTAATCAATTAATATTTTTTCCTTTATGATTGATTTGATTAGTAGTATAGTTTATTTTATTCTTAATATTTAGTTAGTTATATCCTATTTAAACGTTATGAATATCAATGAAGATTAAACCTTCGATCCCAATTCTATCTCTCATTCTTAACTCTGTATTGTTTCCTTGAATAATAATATTTTCAGATCTATTCATACTCTTGAGTGGTAGATATTGTGTCACAAAGTGCCTGAATCTGCCCTTTAAAGTCCAATTCAACTTCAAATCCATCATCTTGATGATATCAGTTAAAACAAAACGATACTATCATGAGTTCTCGAAATGATGATCGATTTCATTAAAGATCTCCTCCTGCAAAAGTTCTTCAATGACATCTTCCATTCTTATGACACCAACAAATTTTTCTTCCTCGACGAGCTTAGGAAGAGGACTTCGATAGATATCGAAGTACATATCCTTTGTCCACTTCTTACTTCCTAGAACCACTCAATGAATTATTTGTGGTGGGAAACTTTTCCACTTTTGAAATGACTTTTTTTCTTCAAAGCTTTTTCTTGCCTAGTTTGTCATTAGATTTCTCATTCATTTTAGGAGCGAATAAGGTTCTTATCAAAATAAGTTATTAACTTGGAGCAATTTTAAGATGATTGTTAGGAGTTATTAACTTGGTAAATTTAGAAAAATTGTTAGTGTTTCGTTGAGAGGAGGGTCACTAGTGGCTAATTTGTGGAGAAAGTTTATGAAATCTTTTAGTGCTTTCTCCCTTATAATTAGATGTACGCTTTATTCACAAGTAGTTGCTAATTTGTAGAGAAAGTTTAGGCAATAGGACATGAGGTTTATCTTCTAAATCGCTTATCAACAAAGGCGCTGGACACTCACAACCCTTACGAAGTATGGTTCAACAAGACAACTCACCTCGAGTATCTAGAAGTATTCGGTTGTACAACACATGTTAAGACTGCAAAGACATATAGCAAAAAGTTTGATGACATAAGCCAAAAGATAGTGTACTTTGGCGTAGAGGATGAGACTAAGGCACATAGGTTGTATGATCCGCAACATGAGAAAGTTCATGAAAGTAGAGATGTCATATCCAAATAAGAGAAGAAGAAGGATTGGTGCAGCAGGGCGATAACAAACTATTACAAAGTTCACTGCTCAGGAAGGAGAGGGACGTGTAACAGACCTAGAAAGTGCATCAACAATGACACCAACAAATCCACACATGTCATCACCGGTGACACCGAACGTGATAAATTCTCTAGAATAAGAGAGCTCAGGTGAGAGCATAGGAGGATCCACAACAGATGGTGGACCAAAGAAGTTTCATTCTCTTGCTGAAATTTATACGGATACACTTGAAGAAGAATTGAATCTCGACCAGTTAGTGTTGCTCGTGGACGAGGAGCTAACAACTTGCCGTGAGATAGCAATTGAGACAATGTGGTAGAAAGGCATGCAAAAAGATCTTAAAGTCATTGAGAAGAACAAGATGTGGACACTGACTAACTTACCGCCCGAACATAAGCTCATGGTTTGAAGTGAGTGTTTAAGTTGAAGAATAATAGTGAATGAAATGTCATCAAACATAAAACAAGACTCATGGTGAAGGGATACGTGCAACGACAATGAGTTGATTTTGAGGAGGTTTTCGAACCTGTGGTTAGACTAGACACTGTAAGGTTGATTCTTGCCCTCGCAGCTCAATATAGGTGGGAAGTCCATCACTTGGACGTCAAATCAACATTCCTAAATGGTGACCTCCAAGAAGAAGTGTATGTTGCCCAACTTGAAGGGTTTGTCATCAAAACTGAAGAGCACAAAGTGTACAATTTGTCAAAGGCCCTCTATGGTTTACGACAAGCACTGAGGGCATGGAACATACGTTTGGACAAGAGTTTAAAGAGCCTAAATTTCATGAAGTGCTCGCAAGAACAAGTAGTGTATACAAGAAACAATGGAGCTGAACATTCATAGTTGGCGTGAATGTTGATGACCTGATCGTCATTGGTATAAGTGTGGAAGACATCAAAGAATTCAAGCAATAGATGACGAAAGAATTTGAGATGACTGATCTTGGGTTACTCATGTACTACCTCGATATTGAAGTAGACCAAATGAAGATTGCATTATGCTAAAACAATCAACCTATGCTAAAAAGATCTTGTAGCAATTTAAGATGGCAAAATACAATCGACTAAGTATCCCATGGAAGTAAAGTTACAACTTAGTAAAGATGTTGAAGGAAGCTTGGTGAATTTCATTGAGTATAGGCATGTTATCGGAAGTTAAAGTACTTGATTCATACTCATTCAGACCTTTCATATGTTGTTAGAATAGTGAGTAGGTACATGGAAAAGCTCATTATGATGCATTACCAAGTGGTTATATACATTTTTTGCTATGTGAAGGGAGTCACAAGCTACGGCTGAAGTATCAAAGAAGGCAAGATCCTAAAGAACTAGTCAATTTTACCCATAATAATTTTGTAACGATCCGAGTTTCTGGAATAAAATAAAATAAAATAAATAATTAAATGTTTTGGTGTAATTTCCTAGACATTTATTGTCTAATAGAGAAACATTCCTATTTCTCTAAGGTTCTTTATCCTAAAAACCATAGAATGCTTTCGAAAATGTCTTGAGATTATTTTTATATTCATATGCTCAACCTTTTACATTCCTTGAAGACGATTTTTAGTCCATCATTTTTAGTAGTTTAATGTTTATTTGACTGATTTAAATTAAAGCATTAAACATTGTTTTATTTAGATTTGTTTTGAATTCAACTACTGAACGTTTTATTTTCAGAGATCGGTTTGTTTTGAATTTTTTGACCTTTATGAAAGGTTTATTAGTTTCCCAAAGTTATTTATGATGAATTTCTACTTTATGCACGAGTGATGTCACTAATTGGGTTAAAAAAAAACTAGGGGCGTTACAAATTTAGTTAGAGACATTAACGATAAAAAAAGCACACCATGAAAGACGTTTTATCTCAACGAAAATTTGATCTCTTGGTAATCTCAAGAATAGCAAACTATGACACTATCTTCCTGTAAGGCCGCCGAATTCATGACAGCAACTTTGGCATCGTGTCAAATATTATGGTTGAGAAATTTGTTAATCGAAGTGATGAGAAGTGAACTAGAGCAATGTGCAAATAAACTAATAAACTTAATCAAATTTGAAAGTAGATCATAAACTAATAAACTTAATGAAATAAGTGAATTTTTACACTAAAAATTGCAGCAGTTACAAAATGATGAACCAAATTTTTGATTAGAAAGATGATTAGTAGTTTTTTTGTTTTAAAAAAAAGATCTTTCCCTCAAATTGTTACTTCCCTTCCTTTGGTTTTTTGGATATATTTGAATAGCAAGTCACATCCAGGCATAACACAAACTTGCTTCTTTATTTTACACGCACGACACTGCATTCAAACTTTCAACTCAAAACATCACACATAACTAAAGAACAGAAATTTGAGTTCTCAAAGCTCTTGCTTGGCCCCTCCCAACTTCGCCTGCTCCGCCCGCGGTTCTTCAATGCTCACCACTTTGGGATCCTTAACCTTCTCCGGCGAGACCTTGGACAACGTCACCGTGAGAACCCCATTCTCCAGCCGAGCTCTAACAGACTCCATATCCGCATTTCTGGGCACCCGAAATTGCCTCCAGAATTTGCCATAACTTCTCTCGACTCGGTGCCAGTGATCGCTCTGTTTTTCCTCCTCTCTTTTCCTCTCTCCCATCACTTTGATGACCCTGTTCTCGTCGTCCAATTCGATCTTCAGCTCATCCCTGTCAAGTCCAGGCACATCCAGCATGATCACATGCCTCTCCGGCGTCTCCTTCCAGTCCACTCTGGTGGGCTGGAGTGGGTGCTGCAGAGCATCTCTGTTTTCGTCTTGGAAGCTAAAAGGGGTTTGCTCCAGAATCCCAAATGGGTCGAAGAATGGAAGCGGAGAGGCTGTTGATGAGGTAAGGAGAAGAAGAGTGAACACCAAAAGTGCTGCTTTCTTTGCTTTGGATATTGCCATTTTGGGTGGAGTTGGAGGATGGATGATGAAAGAGTAATTTATTTATAAGTGGGAGAGAGACGGAAAAGAGGGATGTATTTGGGCATTGTTCATCGCGGTTCTAGACAGTTCTTGCAGTTTCAGGATTTGATTGGAAATGGACTCCTCCAATTCCTGCATTCTCGACACTTCTCCTCCAATTTCTTTTACTGCTCTCTCTAATTTTACACCGCAAAATGCGAACTTATTCAAACTCACTTTTTTAAAACACTTTTTTTTTTTTCTTTTTTCACTTAAAGAACTTTAAAACATGTATTTTATTTTAAAGTTTATATAAACCATTAATTTTTTCAAAACAAATTTAATACCTATAAGTAGCATATATTTGAATCTAAATTGATTTTAAAATGTTCTTATAGGAACAGGTTTTCACGTTCTAATCGATTGCACGTGGATCTCACAATCCACCCCCTTCAAAGCCAAACGTCCTCGTTGGCATTGTTCTCTTCTTCAATTGACGTGGGACCCTCCAATCCACCCTTTTGGGGTCAACCTCCTCGCCGGCACATTGCTCCGTGTTTGGCTCTAATAATATCTTGTAAGTGCTCAAACTCATTTGTTCTGGTTGGCCTTTTATGGTAGTTAACGATATGTTTTTATTTGTAACAACCCTAGATTTTTTATATTCTAAAGTCGCTATTGTGTACATGACTAACCATTTTGTGCACAAATAATTATTTGAAACTTTATCTTAAAACACTACAATAGACTTACATGTTCGAAACATTTTCAAAACCTACGTAACAAAATACTAGATAACAAATAAACATTAAAAAAAAAAAAACATATTCCAATCTAAGTCTAGGGAAATAAGTACAACTATTCTAGTAATGTTTCATGGTTTTGATTTGTGATGTCATTGTCATCATCCGTACATGAGTGTCTTGCCTTAACCTGAAAGAGAAGTAGCACGTAACTTGAGTATTTTAACAAATACTCAATACTGTTGGGGTTAGATGCAAACACATATAATTATGAATGCGACCTAATCTTTCAGTTTGTATTCTTTTGGGCGACTATCCTAAGAGAGTAATTGGATGTGTATTTACTATTCTACCCACGATTCTCATGTGGGAGTATGGGCCTTTAAGTTGATTCACACACCTTCTAGGCTCCTTTTTCTTGATCAGGCTAGTATTCTCAGGAGTTGTTGTCGGAGGTACAGTAGGAATAGTAACTGTCGCAGCATTATGATCAACATAATGATCGTTTTAATGCCTCGGGGCTTCCGACGATTGCTTGAATATTTTTTTATACCCATTACCGTAACACTATTTTTGGGTTGTTTGGGTTATTTGGGTTGGTCGGAGTGACCTATGAAAAAGGAATAATTTAGATATTATCTAAAAATTTCCATTTTATATATTATACATCATATTTGCACCCATTTATTGCAAAACGAAGGACGGGTACCAAATTGGGTTTCAATTTGAGGCATTTTAATTTAATATCATTAAATTACTTTTAAAATATTTAGGTGAGTTATTACTCATTTAATGCATAATAATATTTTTAATAAACAAATGTTAATAATATTTTAATTTGCTTGCGCGCGTGTATCTATATATATATATATGAAATGAATAAAAATATAATAATAATAAGAAGCAAAAACGAGAAATAATAAACAAAAAGAGAAGAGAGTAAATATTTCCGAGAGTAAATATATCCGAGAGTAAATAGATGCTCATTGGTTGATGCAAAGTACAAAAGTGATGACTTTGGCATTCTAAATTGGAAGTTCATGGTTGTTATTATAAGTGGACAAGCATGGAGTGAAAATGGATAACAATGACATTAGACGTCAACGTTCCAAATAGCTGCATTGCCTTCTCCACATAACTTATGGACCTCCTTCATTTTGTCTACCGATTCACAAATCCCACTACACGACCAATCAAAAGTTGCCACGCACACATTCCCTCCATTCGATTTTGGTTCGCAATCTATTCACCCAAACAAACTCATAATTAGATTGGTATTATGATTGAAGTAGATGGATACACGGTCCTACCTGGAGGTGTCCCACAACACATGGAACGATCGTCCACGTGCTCCACTTCTAACCCAATGAACCAAGCTCCCAACGACACGTCTTCATTCGCATACCTATGTAATATTGGACTAATCCGAAAAAAAAATAAAATTGGTGTTAGCATGAAAACAAAAAAAGAACGGAGCCTGGGATTGAATTGACTTACAAATTAAGGGAAATGTAGGCAGCAAGGTCTTTAGAAATGACGTAGATTTGACCAGTGGCATGCCGGAAATACTCGTTCCCTTCTTCTCCGAATTTCCAGTACTCGGGCTCGTGATACTTTAGTCCCCTGTTCATTTCCATTATCTTCCATATATTAATCCACTCCCCTAATTTAACTTTTTTGAAGTTTTCATTAAGAAAATAAAAAAAGAAATTATAAGTAATATTTTATGTAAATAATACCAACTCACTTTTGAAAGAGAACTGGGCCTGACTTCATGCAGCCCATGTAAATCCTGGGCTTGGACCGATGCCGTTCGAGGGCCGACACCAACGCACCTACGCACAAAACCGCCATTTTCAATTTTTAATATTGATTTTTTAAATTTGAAAAGTATTTCATAAATTTGTAATTTTTTTAAGTTATTTAGAATATTAAATTTGTAATTTTAGGTCGTTAGGAAGTCGACCACTTTTTTTTTTACTTACCCAAATTCACATGAACATCGTCGTCAACCTTGACGTAGAACTCCGCCGCCCACAGCGACGCTGCGGTGGTGAAATACAGCCGTGTCTTCGTTGATAGTTGATGGTAATCTTCCACATGCCTCAGCCGCAGGAAGTCACCGTGCACCTCCTCCTCCTCGTCTATGGCTCTGTCCAATGCTCCACCAGGTTTTCCACTCTTTCCTATGACGAATCGGATCACAATCCCCTTCTCTTTCTCTAGTTTCTTCAGCGAGTCTCCTGCGCCGGTTATCAATTGCTCAATCTGATGCCGATTTCTGTGTGAGTTTCGTATTTGAGTTAGGGTTTTGGTTTTTACGGACCTCGAGGCATCCATGTCTCTCGAATCGAGTCTCGGCGTTTCTTGCTGCTGAAAGCCGTGTTGATTCCGATCACCACGAACGCCTTCTCCGGCGGAGTTCTTTGATTTCTCCCGTTCGTTCGAGATAGAGCCATTTCCATCTCCCAATTTTCGAACGTTTTCTCCAGAGATCTGGTGAAGTAAAGCTTCACAACACAAACACAAAGAGGAAGAGAATGGAACAGAATAGAAAAAAATTCGGTAAGATCGATTGGCCTTACTGAAGAGATTGATGTGTTTTAGTAACTTCCACCATAATTTCCTGATCACTTGATTCTACTAATTTCTGCCGAAAAACAAAAATTGAAAGAATCACATTGCGTTACGATTTTGCATTGTGTAATACGAATACAAATTAGGAAAACTAACTCGTTTGTGGTCACAATCTTGTGCAGCTTCAAGATTTTCGAGATGGTTGAGAAACTGAGGGTCTCTAGTATGAATACTGGTGCGGGCAGTGAAGAGCGAGCCAGCAAGAAAGCTCGCAAAACAAAGAAACAAGGTGAGTTTACCAGTCATTGGCTTTCCCCTCATTTTTCTGCCGTCCTGCTTCCTGTTTGGAACCTAAAAACATTCAGCCACAACCAAAATCACAAACTACACATACACATTGCTTGCATATATGTTGCTGCAATGGATACTCAGAATTTATTTATATACATAGATAGATAGAGCATAATATTGGGGGATGATCTGATCACTTGTGCATGCGTGCATGATTTAGGAAGCAATTAAAACAGCTTCTGGGTTGTGGTGGGATGTTTGAACATATCATATGGCGAAGAGATGGAGGATGTTTAAGATGGTTGAAAATTGTTCTGAATTGGTTGAGTGAGGAGAGAAACACAAAAGGGGGAATGCCTACAAATTGAATTAAATTTGAAGTAAATGCGATTAGGCGAAGAAGCATTAGGATGGAAGTATCTTTAAATGTTTAGAAAGTAAAAAAGCGTTGAAATTTGCCCAAAACTGGAAAGGAATTAGGTATACCTTGGAATGATGGGGAGGATTGAATTTAGGTGTTAATTGGAATATTGAAGTTTTGAGTTTGGGAATTGAATGATTGAAGATTATAAGAGGAGAAGATGGAAGATGGAAGATCTAAGAAGAGGGTGGAATTGGGATTGAGGCATAGAGTGTAGAGAGGTAGTTAAGTCATGTGCTGTGTGTGCCCCAACAAACTGTGTGCTAAACAACCTTAACCTTTGATGAACTTCTATGCCAATTCCTCTGTTTTTTCGACTTTTGCTTTTTGGCTGCACCAACTTAGGAATTGAAATGCGCAGGACCTTAGGTATGAAATGATGATATGGTTTAAGATTATTCTACTTCTTTCTGAACCTTTAAAATATATATATATATCTTTTACATCTTGAATTTGTTGTTGTTTGAAGGATAATTGATTTGATTTTGAATGTGTGTTAATGTAGTATAAGCTTGCATTGTGAGTTCTGCATATGAATTTTAATTTAAAATGTTTTAAGAAAATATATAATTTCAGAAAATGTTTAAATGAAGAAAGAATGTCGAACTCACCTAAATGTAGGGGCAATTGAGTATTTTCACAATTGAATTTCCCACTATTTTCGTAATTCAATTTGGGATCTTAAATTATTTACTAGTTGACAAATTTTCCAAAATTTTGCAAGAAATGAATTAATTTGAAGTTTAATTATTGATCTTTTTAGATTATTAATTATTGATTTCGAACCTTAAAAAAAGAGTGTGTGTGGGTGGGGGGGGGGGGGATG